AATTTTTTTTTTTTAATTAAAAGTTTTTTAAATTATTAACTAAAATTGGCAAATAAGAGAATTACCGGAATTTGGTAATTTTCCAAAAATTTAATTATATTAAATGTTATGGCTTTAGTTACAGACTCCAATTAATTTTATTCAGTAAAATGGCAATTAACACAGAAATAAATTTTTTTTTTTTTCAAAACACCCTGTTAGTTCTTTTTATCTTTCAACTGATAGCTGATAAAATTAATAATAAATAAATAATTTGAAATTATTTATTACTCACATATATAGTTTAAAATAATATTATGTATATGTAATAGAGCAAATAATTATTTACAATTTGCTTCATTTTTAAATGAAATTATTAAAATTTTAGTTTAATATTTTGCATGTATGTATGTGTGTATGTATAGTAGCAATATTATTGAGAGTTGTTAAACATAAATGACAATATGTTTTTTTTTAACAAACTCAAATAACCTTGATAACTGGAAGACTAATACTTATTCTAACAAAAAAAAAAATTTTTTCTATTTCAAATATATTATATATATGTATGTATGTATATATTTGCTTATATATGCAAAATTTATGTAATATATGAGTTTTATGTAATATATGTATGTATATAGCTATAATAAATTTTTATTTTAATAAATTTTAAAGTGTTGTATTTGATATAAAGAATTTTTGCTTTTTATGTTTTAAGATTGCGCTAATGGTGGGAAATGTAATGTTAAGGTACTATTTTCTTTTGTATTGAATTTTATCATTAACGTTACTAATTAATATATGTATAAGTAAATAATTTTCTGATTTATTATATGTCACATTCACTTATGTACGAATTGTAATTTTTGTTTTTTTGTATATAAATAGTACAATTGTTAAAGTTATTAAAGTATAATTGCTTTAATTTCAATATTATTACGATAGTAAAGTATAGAAATAATAATTAATTACATATATGGCAGTATATGTTAATATTAAATTTAATAATTTTTAAATATTTTTATATATACAAATATGTATATGAAAATATTTTATATTCAGCGAAATTATATCGTTTTAAATTAAGAACGTAAAAGTACGGGAAATATTATACATTTGCTTGTTGTAACTAAAATAAATTTTAATTAATATTAAGTTTTGCAAAACAAAAAAATTTTGTTGAATTTTTAAATCTAATTTAATTATTCTCGATTATAATTAAAATTTTTAAATATTTATGTTCATAAATATTCAAAAAAAAATAAAAAATAAAAATATTTTTATAAATTTTTTCTACTCACAAATATTTTTCAGAGGTAGAGTTTAAATTTATACTTTACAATTGTACTATAAGCGTGTAATGCTTAATTATTTTAATTGTAATAATTTTATTTTAATGTAAGTAAAAATTATGTTTGCTCTTTTGTATTTATGATAAATTTCATGCTCAAAATTATTGCAAAAGTATAAAGAATATATGAAATTAATTAATAATCATTAATAATATGAGAAATCACTTTAAATATGAAATATGTAATTTTTAAAATATGCAGTACATTTTATTTTATGTTCAATGAAATGTTAAATATAAGATATTCAATTAAGTGTAAATAATTTTGCGATACTTTTCAAAAAAATGCTTATTTTCAATTTGTCCATGCTTTGAATTTTGCAATATGAATTAAAGAAGAGTATGTTCAATCTGAATAATGTGTTTTTTATTTAAAAGTTTTGATAAAATGATTTATGAAGGAAATTTTGCAATTATATATGTTATTGTATCATAAGAAGCTTTGAAAAGTACCAAATTATTATTTTAATATGAAATTTTTAAAAATTGTCAATATTTATATATATATACATGAATTACATATATTCGGTAAGATTTTTACTCTTTAAATATTAAAATAATGTTAAATAAAATAAATAAAATTTTCCATTTCTCGAATTCCATTTATACGAACATATTAACATTTATATATAGGATATTAATTATGAAAATTATATAGTATTTTAAAAAATAGTTTTTTTTTTCTTTTCCAGGTATCTTTTATACAATTTCATTTTTATTTTTTTAGTTTTTAATTTTGTTTTATTATTTTCGATAAATGTTTTAAAAATCTAAGAAAATATTATTATAATTGTAAGAGAATTTATTGATTATTGTTCTTCTATATATATATATATATATGTATATATATATATATATATATATATATATAGTTTCTATATATAAGTATTTTTACTTTAAGAAATACATAATATTTAATTATGAATTTATTTTAAATTTTGTTTTCTGTTTTTTTTTTTTCAAAAAATTATTTTAAAAAAAATCGCAATAATTTGCTCGTGATTGCAGTTTAATTTTTAATATTTAATAATATTTTCAATATATAAGCGTGTTAAATATTAAATTTTATTGATTTCTTTTTGCTTGTTTTATTCATTTTATTATTTATTCATTTATTTTATTTTGCATTTTATTAAGTTGTTTTCAGTTTTATTTTAATATTTTTTTTTTTATTAATATTTCCAAATATTATTTTAATCGATTATAAAAGTAGTTTTTTTGAAGTCTATATAAATATTATATTATATTATTTATTTTTAATATTTACATATATATATATGTATATATATATGTAAATATATTACGCATATATAATATGTATATATATATGTAAATATATATATGTATATATTATAAATATGTATATATATATATATATATATGTATATATTCGAAGATAACTTTCACACATACACAAATTTATTTGGTATTTTAAATTTTGAATTCAGATCTAATTGCATTTCAATATTTTTATTAAACCATATAAATTATAAATGTAAAATATACATATACGAGTATCTGATATACATATAAAAGTTTTTAATTGGCTACTTAAAAAGAAAAAAAGAAGATATTTAAATTAAATTTTAAAAATTTTATAAAATATTTTTAATAAGTTTTATTAATAACTATGCGACAGATGTTGCTTTAATTTACCAATTACGTCATGTATAGTCCTATACTGTCACAAATATTTTATTGATGTGATAATCTTCTTGAGCTTCAAAATGATTTGTCCTTCAATAAAATATGATGTTTAAAATAAAATAAAGTATGTACACGTATATTATATACAGTCTGTGTAATTTGAATTTTAGTTATATTTTAAGCACATACAAATGTTATATACAATATTCATGCATTTATATTCATAAAATAATATGATTTTGGTATAATTATGGATTTGAAAGTTTTACTATATGATATGTGACAGACTTTTGATAGACTTTGTTGATTTTTTATAATTTATTCAATTTATATTTTATTTTATTTGAAATATTGATATGGGGTTTAAGTGTTTAATTGAAATATTCAAGTTCTTAAAAAATTTTTTATTTGCAGATATAATTGAGCCATATAAAATAATATTTAAATAGAATAATTTAATTTAAAAATATAAGTAGAATTATATTTGAGTACAATGATATTAAAATATGAATATTTCATTTGTTCTCTTATATTTCAGGTCATATAATTTGGATCATTCAAGAGATAATGTCATTTTAGTTAAAGATATCATAAAACATAGTGAAGAATCCAAAATAGAGATGGATGAGGCTAAAATTAGTTAAAATTAACTCTACTTGTCAGAGCTTCAATGTTGGCTCAGTATATTGTCCGCCGAGGTGTAATATAAAGAATTGTTAATTATTGTTCTAGAATGACATCAACCAGGTATATAGAAAACTAAGGAAAGCTATTCAGGAATTTGGATGTTGCTTTCATTCTACTGGCAATCTGACTTGTTGCCCTATAGATACCAACAAAATTCCGGATCTTATTCATTTTTCATATCCAAGAGGATTTTATTACTCTACTATCATATTTAACATTGGTGAGGAGGTCGGTTAAAAAAAAAGGACAAACCCACTTTTGTTAACAGAACCACAGATTGGGTAAGCTTTATATATGATATTTTTAGAAATTTAAAAGCAAAATTAAAAAATTTTAAATCGGTATCATGGGAAAGTTATATAAGAGGAAATTTCTTCATGCAACTGCAGAACTGATGGGTGACGTAATCAAAGGAACGAGTTAAAGGCAGAAAAATTAATTAAAAACTTTTTCTCCTCGAACTGGACACGAACCAGTGACCTACCGCTTTCTAAGCGGACGCTCTACCAACTGAGCTACAGAGGCATGAAGAAATTGCCGACGAAATGTTCTCTACATTGCTTTATACTGTAGCACTTCACGTTTAGGGAAATTGGTGCGCATGTGCTTCAATGCAGTGTTCTGGGTGCTATGTTATATGTACTTTATACAAATGATTTGCCAGAAAAAGTGAATACAACTGTGGCTACATTTGCCAAAGATACAGCAGAATTAGTAGTAGGACCTAATGTTGAAAAATTAACAATGAAATTTAAAGAAGTAAGTTGTATACTCCTTCTAAGTATAACTTCTAAGTATATAAGTTAATGGACAAATAAATGGAGGATAAAGCTAATAAATCAAGATAAATCTGTTAATGTGAGATTTAAAACAAAAATTTATTTCCTCCATCACAATTAAATTGGAATAGTGGTAGAGTATTAATACAAAACACAGCAAAATACCTAGAAATAACTTTGGGCAACATGTGAATATTGAAGCCTCTCGACTTATAGAGAAGAGGATTAGAAATGAAAGTCTGAAACGAGGAAGCAGTTTCGAAAAGTGCTTTCCTTAACGGAATATAAACACGAAAACACGTTTGACTAAAACTAATTGTTAGTCAATTTAATTATTTTAAGGAAGCTATAACAAGGTCGGGTGCGTTTTAGGTTGGCGTAAAATACGAGGTGGTTAGGTTAGTAGTGCTGTCAATAATGGGTCTGATGATAATTTGAGTCCGTCTATCTTAGCCTGCCAATGTTTTTTGATATCAGTGGTTAAATTAAAAATAAAAATTAATTAAATCTGAATTCAAATTTTAATACCAAATTTTTTTAATGTGAAATTACATTTTGTTATAGTTGCAATTTGTTGTAAATCTGATCTAAATTCATTATTATACATTTTTTCTTAACTTTTTCCTTTCACATAAATATGTTTACTTATTTGATATTTTCCTCAAAAATATCATTTATTCAATTTTTCAAAATTAAATTTCTTTCGATATTTTCATAATTCATTTAATTTTTTTCTGTATCTTTCTTGTTTTTTGTTCCTATTTCTGTCATTCTGTTTAGTTTACATTACTTACATTTTGCACTTAGAAAATAAAGTCGAAGTTAAATATTTAAGATTTATATAGTTTATTTTTTTTAATTATTAAAAACTTTTTTTTTAATATAATTTAAAAAAGTTTTTCATATACCGATTTTCGTTTTCCCAATTTTGGGAAAGTCAAATGTTTTGATAGTAACGAAAGCGGAAAGTATAACAGGATAGATATTTTAACATTAAAATTTTTTTATTTTGACATATTCATATGCCCACTCAATATTTATATCCATATAGTTAATTGCACACCATAGAAGTGAAGAATAGCCAACCATGACCCGAAACTTTATTTCTAGAATAACAGAAAAGAAACCCTTGTCCTCCTGGCATCACCTTTGGCTCTTCGAGCCATCCCGTACTGTCACATACTCCCTTCGGTACTTGTTGTTGATCCCTTTGAATCACCTAAACCACCAGGACCATCATCACCGCCACCAGCTGCTGCAGCACGTCCAGCAAGGCCGGTGAAATCAAGTTTATACTATTTTTTTTTTTTTTTGTGATTAAAAGAGAAAAGAGTAAAGAGAAATAATAAAAAAATAGAAAAAAAATGTTATTTAGAATTATTTAGATTTAATAATTTGTGTTTTTTTTTTAATTTTTAGTTAAAAATAAAATTATATTATATACAAATAGTTATTTATATCTAAATATATTTGTGTATATTAATATTTTTGCATATAATACTTTAAATAACACTTATATATTTATATATAAATATTATAAAGAAAAATTAATATATTATATATCTTTTTCGTACTAAATTATAATATAAAACTCACAACAATTAAAGCTATTAAAGAGTCGCTTAAAGCTGTTTTAATTAATTTATGTATATGTATGTTTGTTTAATTTTTTATTTTTAAATATTTGCGAAATATGTAATAAAATAATAATTAAGAAAATTGTTATTTTATCAACTTATCATTGATGAATATTGTACTAGGTTATGTAATATTATGGTGTATTTCGGGAAATTTCGAGAATTTATTATTTTAATTAATAGATTCTTTGATAAATATGCGTATTTATATCTATATATACATATAAACATATGTGCGTACATAAAGAAATAATTGAGTTGGCTAGTGAGTCGAGTGAGAATCAGTTGAGTGACTAGAGCAAAAATCAGTAGAGTGAGTTACGGAATTGAGTAGCTTGAGTAAGAATCATTTGAGTTAGTTGAGTAAGCATCAGTAAAAATTATTGGAGTTTTAATATGCGTACATATGTATATATGTATGTATGAATAATATGTAATATAAAAAGTAGTTTTCTGAAATGAATACATTCTTATGTGTACATTTATTTGCCTTAAAATTCGCTCAAAAATCAGTTTGAATATGGTTTAGAGAAACAGTAAATTAATATCTCAATTACTTTTAAAATGGCTTTTAATTATTAGAGGTCATAATTATTCATTAGGGATCATGGTGACATAATTTTATGAAATAAAAGAAATATATTAGATTTTTTTTTTAAAATTAATTTATTAAGTTGAAATTTTTAATATTTTCAGGTGTTACAGATGAAAACAACATGCTGTTGAAGTTATTTTGGTCACTCAATTATTAACGACAAGACGCTTAAATCTAAGAGGAATATTAAAAGGAGAAAATTTTAAGATGTATCATAATGGAAATTGATTTAATTAAGTCATGTCTGAAGATTTTGGTTGTTTTCTTGTTTTGATAAAAAATTTTAACGAAGCTTTTCAAGTTTTCATGGATTTTTGGCGCAAATTGAAATTTTATGTCAGAATACGATTTTTTAAGAATAAGGCCATGTTATATTTAATACAGTAATTATTATGAATGCATATGTAATTATTATTTTGCAATATTTTATTTTAAATTGTGAATATATTATAAATTCTATATTTAATCATAACTTTAAAGATTGTTTATTAACATTTTTTATTTTATTTTTAGCCTAATGAACAAAAACGAAAATCAGGCATCTATAAGGATTTCATTTTAAGGAAACTTTAACTCAAAAGCATGCTAAATATTATTTAGAAAAGTGCTTAACTATACAGTTTGTGCAGTATTCATTCTGTAAAATTTAAATGGGCTTTTGAAATAATTAAAAAAAAAAAACACGTTTTTAGTTTAAAAAAGTTAAAACTGTTTATAACAATTTTCTTATTATAAAAATTAAGAAATTATTAAATTATAAAACTATATGTATGTTATAACAGAATGTTTATAAAATGTTTAGCAAAATAATTTTAAGTTTACATTGAAAATAAAGAAAAAAAAAACAAAAATTGAAAATGTATTAAAGAAATAGAAAGATAAATTAAATAATTTATATAAAAAAATTAAAAAAAAAGAATATTTTTAACTTTAATCCAATATTTTGAGTAAAAATCATAAAAATTATTTTGTTTTGATTGCATTTTTCTTTACTATAAATTTAAAAAAAAACAATACTAAATTAATAATTTTTGAAAAATATATTTTTTTTTTTATTTTTTAATTTTTTTGCATATCTAAATAATTACATTTAACAATAGCTTGGCTGATATACTTTTTTAGCTTTTGCGTTCTATATATCAAATATATATATTTATTTTTTAATTCAAATTTTTTTTTAAAACCAAAACATTATGAACAAAACGTGTTTTTCTTACCCTTTTACAAATATTTAAATCATAGAGATAATTATTTGGTTTATTCAACACACATTTTTCATTTATTAATTTTACCTATTTACAAATTTTAATTTTTATTAAATTAGTTAAAAATGTTTCTTTTTTGTTTTCAAAAATAAATTTATTTGTATAATATAAAATTTATGTATATAGGAAAAATGTTAAAAACAAAAAAGAAAAGGAAAAATTACATTATATAAATTAAAATAATAATTTTGTTTTTAATATAAAATAAAATAGTCACAATATATATAAAATATTTATTTAGTATATATGAAGAGGAAAAAAGTAAATGCTAAAACAATATTATATTACTTAAGTATTTTGCAAATATTATATAACCTTATCTTAAAATCCATTTAAATATTTAAATCTATAATATATTTTATTTAGTGAAAATAAAATTTGAAATCAATATAATAAAATTATTTTATGCAAAATAATATTCGAAATTATTTAGAAATTCATTAATGGATTCTAAAATAAAGTTATTTAATTAACATGTACTTTAAAGAGCGGATTTAATATGAGGGATTTTCGATAATTCAGTTCAGGGTCTTAATATAAAGCACATTCGATTAATCCAAATTGTAAATTCTTTAAAAATAGCATGTTCGAAAATGACAGTTGTGCTTAAAGTTCTAATGCAATTCTTAAATATTTTAATGACTTCTATAAATTTAGAAGAAAAGTATAATAAAAAAATTTTGGATATTGAAAAAATACTTGCAAGTATATTACAAATTTGCAGAAGTAAAATATTCCTGTTTCTGCAGATTTGTATAATGTATTTGTGAAAAGATTTAATTTAGAACACTCAGTGCATGCCTGAATCATCGAAAATCCCCATAATTTTAAATTTTTCTTTTTTTTTTTTTACAAACAACATCAAAAGCTGAAAAGAAATTATTAAAATAAAAATCAAATTTGTATATATACTCATAATTATAATATAAAAAAAAAAAAGTTTAATTAAAAAATGGCTGTTTATATATAAAAAGATGTTTATATTTTGGTTTATATAAATAGGGTCATGTTTGTAAATTTATATAATAAATATTAAGGTATATAAAATTGTAAAGGTGTGTATAAGCTGAAAATTGTGTTATAATTATATATTAAGAAAACAAAAAATATATGTAGTGTGTGTGTGTAAATATTTCTATATGGATATTAATCTAAATTTTTATTAGTAAGAAACAGTAAACAGTATTATATGAAATAATTAATTTTTTGTCGAAGCATAATATTTTTTTAAATATCGAATTTTTATTATGAACAATTAGGGTAAATACTTTGACTTTTATAAGGCAGAGAGTTAATCTTATTATTTAAAATCATTTTTTATATTAAAGAATTCACAATGGGTTAATATTAATTTGAATCGGTACTTATAAGTATTTTTTTTTTGTAAAATTTGCTCCTAAATTTGCTAATTTATTTTGGTTTTTTTGTTTTCTAAAATTTTTTTATTTTTTTCTCAGATTTGACTTAAATTGAAATTCAGTCAGATTAAATCATATGATATTAGTTAATTTATTTTATTTTGGCTAGTTTGTTTTAGATTTTTTTCTGTACAAAATATTCTAAATGTAAATCAAAGATATTCAAATAAATTCTAATTTTTTTAATTAAATTGTGTGATATTAATTAATAAATTAATTTTATCAAAACTATTTATGTTATGGGATTATTTTTATTGAAGATTTTAATATGGGCTAGTTTAATAATTTTTAATTTAAATCAGTTAGTACACATACAATTAAGGTCTATATGTATAAAAGTGGACGGCATTATAAATTATATAAAAGTATAATAAAAACATTTGTAGAAGAATATTTGTTAGGCATTATTCTCATGTTAATATCATACTTGAAATATTAAGTTTATGTTAAGTTTTTTGAAAAAAAGTTTTTCAAGCAAATTTTTATAAAAAAAATTTTTTTTTAATTATAAATTTGTTTTTAAAAACTATATTTTTTTTTAATAAATACCTAGGTTAATGTAAATATTTATATATTTAACTATATCTGTATATATACATTAGGATTGTTGCTAGTCACACGTTAGTAAAAATATTGCAAATTTTCATTATAAATTTCCTTACTTGTTTTGTTGATGTTTAAATATAGTTTACACATTTAATTGTTGAAACCGTATTTTTTTTTTTCATATATATTTAAATATATTTTTCCTAATATCAGTTTTTATGTTATGTTTGTTTATTTTTTTTTTTTTTTTGAAATTAATGTGTTCGTTTTTGCATACTTGAGTTATGGCATAGTTTTAGGGTACGTTCTTTGTTTTCATTTTTGCCTTTAATTTACTATATTTCATTTGTTGTGGTAAGCATAATTTGTACTAAAATATCCAAAAAATATAATTAATATTAAAAAAGAAATAAAATTTAAAATTAAAAATTAAATATAAATTTTATAAAAAATAAAAAAAAATTTAAAAGTTATTAAATAAGTAGTAGCTTTTCTGGACATTTTGAAATTTCTAATTAGAATTTTTTAGTATTTTTGAGTAACTTATATTATTTAAGTTAATATTTAATAATATTTAAAAAGAAATTTTTTTGTTAAGCATTAATTTTTTTTTTCAGATGTAAATAACAAGAAAACATTAAAATATATGTAATTTTCTTGTTATTATAATTGAGAATAATTTAATATAAATCAGATTTAATTTATACATTAAATGTAACTTAGTTATGATTTTATTCTAATTAGAAAATTTATCTAATTTTCGAATGTAACATGATATACGCTGAGCACATTACAGAAAGAAATTCTGATTTGTTAGACAATAAAAGAAAAATATTTAATTTTAAGGATTTTAATTGTAGCTATAGTTTACATATACATTTTAATATTAATTTAAAAAAAAAAATTGTATAATTTTGTTTTTTTTATAAAAATTTTATCTAATCCTTAATGTATTTTTTGTGTGCTTAATGATATTTTTTGCATAAATGTTCATAAACTTGAAAATTATTCTCTTTAAAATGTATGCTTAAATTGTAATTTTCTATTTTTTTTTTTTCAATTTTTCTCTAATAAAAACTAAATGTAAAAAAATATCTTAAAAATTTTAATTAGAGAAAACGAAATGAAATTGAATTTTATAGCACAAAATAGTGTTCTAAAATTTTAAATTAATTTAATTTAAGTTGATTGATTTTGTGCAGTTAAAAACAAAAAAAAAATTATGATTCTGCTTTTAATTGCAGCATAGTAGATTATGCTGCATACTTTAAAATTTAAATTAAAATAAGACAAAGTAAGGTTTTCATAAATACAAAATTAAAAATTATTTATGTAGCTTATTATGCTGATTAATTCTTCTGAGATATCTTTTCAAACTGCTAAGGTTGCTGCTTTGAAAATAAAATTAAAGGTTTAAAATTACATAATTGAAAATATTATTTTCATAAGTTATGCATTTAATTGTTTTCGAATTTATCTATTTCCCCACGAAAATCATATTAATATACAAGGTAAAGCCGTTTAACGTTCGTTGTTTTAATCACCAGGAATAGGTGGCGATTAATTTTTTCTGTTTGTGATGCAATGTCAAAAACCGCAGTATATGGCATGTTTGTTTGCCTATAAAGCTAACAAATTAATTCAAATTTTCGTTGTTTAGAGCTCGTTTTAGGCCTTTAAACTGATATATTTTATAATTTTTTATTATTCATATAATGCTAATTGATGTATTTATTCATATATATATTTTTTTTTATATAATATATGAATTGTTCCAGTATATATATTAAAGTATTTAAATTAAAAATAAATTAATTAAAATTGTTTAATAATAATTTAATGAAAATTAAAATCTTAATTTTAAATTTTAATATTATTTCATTAAATTTGCTTTTTTTTTTTTTCTATTTTAGTTCTTTTTTTAATATTTTTTTTTTGTTCATTCTGTTAATTAAGGGGGCCTCATTTAAAAGTATAATTTATTTTTCATGTTTGATATATATATGTAAATTGAATTTTTTCTTTAATATTTTAGCTTAATTTTTGAAAATTTCAAATCATGCAACCGAATACCGTTATAAATATTTATAAATTACAAAAAAAGAAAAAACTATTAGAAATTAATAAATGCAAAACGATGACGGAAAAACACTTTTAGAATTAAAATAAAAAATGCATTTTTCATTTTTTTCTGTATAAGTATATAGTGAATTTAGTTTTTAAATTTGTGTTTTTGTGGGATTGAATTTTATGTATATTATATAAGATTTATTTATAAGTTTCTTCGTTAATATTTTAATATATTCATTTAAATATTGAATTCATGTATAAATAATTATAATTATGAAGAATATAATTATACATTAAAATTATCAAGAATTATTTGTTTGGTGTCTTATAATTTTTTTAAATTTCTAATATTTAATTTATATATTTAAGTTTATGTTTATTAAAATTTTATACTGTAATTAAAATTAAGATTATAATGTAAATATGTGAAATTTGACAATTGATTTTGATATGTCATTAATTTTGAAATATAATTGGCAATTTTGACAATAGAAATTCTGTCAACTGATGATGAAAATTTAGATACTGATAATTTGTTAAATGACAAGTTTTTATTTATTATTAATATTGGGACAGAAAATACTTAAAAGTTTTAAATCTTATTTAATATAGCGTTAATTAAAAAAGAATTTCACGCGAATAATGAATTATTAAACAATAAATTTTATTTAAATATATACGAAGAATCTTATATAATACTTCTTTTTTTTTAAGTTTAGTAATTCATTTTTATATATTGTTGGTATAAAAATTTTATTGTGATAGTTAATTTTGACTGGAAAAAGTGTGTTAAAAAAAAAAACAACATGAAATAAATATTATAAATAAATTGGGGGAATAGAACAGGGGGTAAAGAAGCTATAAAAAAAGTAAAGTAAAAATTAAATAGTTTGAAAAATAAATTAATGACAACTTTATTTATTATTATATAATATATTTTTTGTTTTATTAATAGTCTTTTTTGTACTTCAAAAAATTTTTTTTCAATTTATTTTTTATATAATAATTATTATATAATTTATTACTTTTACACATATATTAAAAATAATAAAACATTGTAATATAAATAGAAATTGTTTTTATTTTTATTTTTTTTTGTGAGAGGAAATTAATAATTAATTATTATACTACATAATTATTATGTTAAAAATTATTAATAAAATGAATATAGAAAAACAAAAGAACAAAAAAACTTAATACTATATAAAACATACATGACATTTTATCTTTCGGGATTTTGTTTTTTGTAAGTTAATATAAATTTTAAACAAGACAAATAAAATTATAATTTTCAGTTTTTATTAAATTTGTGAATTTGTCTATTGCTCTAATTTAGTGTATTGGATTTATTTAAAATTGTAAAAATTGTTTTTGTATTAAAGGTATTCATGCACTTACATACATATATGAGGAGATTATTTTTTTGATATTTTTGATTAGAAATTTTATTAAAAGAAAGTTTTGATTTTTAATTGAATTAAGTTGAAGTAATTAGGCTTAATATGAAGAATTATTTTGAAAAAGTGGGGCAAAGATGTCGATTAATTGTGAATGCCATGAAGAGAAATGGAAAAATATAATCTGTGTCACGTCGCGGAGTTGCGAAGTAGAGAAACCATAACTTCAACATTTTGATGGTTCAATTCAGACTAATAGAGTAATTGACACATTCTAACTTGGCGTTATTCAAAGTTTCATACCACCGTTTGTATATTGGATTTTGTGCCATCTTTCCTATAAACTCATTTAAAGTTGTGCTCATTTTGTTCTTACAGAGAGATAGAGATAAATTGTATACCAAAATTTTTACATTTATTGAGCTATTTACGTACTAACTGAAATATTTATTTAAATATTCTTAGTGATAATGTTTAACATAGCGGCGCATATTAATGAGTCTATATGTAAAAGAATTAAGCGCTAGTATTAAAATGAAGATTCCCCTACACACTAGAAGACTGTATATTTATATACGGTATATTAAAATGGGGGCAATGGACTGGCTAGTGTTTTCGTTTTAGGAGGAGTTTAAAAACGTTATTAATGAGGAAACTAGAAAGACGGGGAATTTGCTTCGGAATGACAAGCTAACTTGTGCAATCACAATGCCCTTATGGCCGAAGAGGAAAGATGCAGAGTGAGCATTGAACGATCTCAATATTGCGATTGGTATTTTGACGCGACACTGTTAATTTGGAAAAATTGGGAAGGAGACTGAGCATTTCCTCATCGAATGTTTATCGAGCATGCCGAGGCGTCGAGCTGCCGAAGGATGTGAGCGATCTGCTGACTTAAGTGACTTAAATGGAAGTAGCGGGGAGAAGTTTGTTGTGGAAGAACGCCAATGGGCCTTTTATTAATTTATTGCTGGGTGGCAGCGTTGATTGTTGTAACTTCCTTCTCTAACTAACTAAATAATTAATATAAAATGGGATATATTATAATAAATACTTGGAATTTTTTTTTTTATTTTTTAAGTGCGTGAATATCTTATTTACTTTATTATTAATTTCTATTCAAATTAAAAAAAAAATCAATATAATAATATGGTAGTATGTGATAAATATTAAATTAATTTTTTTTTTAAATATTTTATTTAATTAAATTACTTTCTATATTAGAATTATTTCTACCATTTACAAGAAATTTAATAAAAATTATTAGGTTATTGGAGCTTTTTATATTAACAACGATTAAAAAAAAAAAGTGTAACATCTTGTTAATTAAATAACTAAATTTTTTTTTCAATTGAATAGTTCTTTTCATTATTATTTTTGTAAATGGAATAGCTATACTATAAAGGCACTTTTTAAGTCTTAAGTAATGTGTATAGCATATAATTATTATACTCATAGTAACATTTTAATTTCTTTTTATTTAGAACATAAATATAAAAGTATTATTGTACTTTTCTGAGGAACATTTTCAACACTACTTATATTCACCTGCATTAAATAATTTTAAAGTTTTTATTTTATAATTGATTTTAGAAACTATCAAATTTATATTAAAAAATTTTATTAAAAATTAATTCTAATATTGTGAATGATATTATTATTATAACATATTATTATATAAATGAATTAAATTTGTTACAAAAGATTCGTCTTTAAACATTTTTATAGAATTTATACGAAAATTATTTAAAAAAATTTTGAAAGTTTTATTAAATAATTTATTAATATATTAGTAAAATAATATATTAAATTTTAATATATTTTTTTACTTTATAAAGAAATATGAAGGCATCCGTAAATAATCTCAATGTAAACAAAATATAACACTAATATATTGATTAATGAATGTCAATATGTCAAATTAATAATGAAATCTATAAAAAATTTTATCATTATGGCAACACCGTATGCATGACTTTTGCGATTGATTTAATTTAATTCATAATTGTACTCATATGAATGCATCTTTTATACTAAAAAAATTATATAATATTTTTTTATTAAAAATTAGTACATTTTTAAAAACAATTTCAATATTTAGTCAATTATGAGAGGTTACACTTTTTTTTTTTTGGTATAGCAATTTGTTGTTCTTGCCAGATGAAGAATTTACGGATCTTTAAAAGGTTGCATATAAAATTACGACATAAAAACATTAAACAAAATTTTGTAATTTCTTCATCTATTATAATAATTATTTAATTAAGAAAAAAAAAAAGAACAAGAGGAAGGAATTACGATAACAATAATTATAATTAAGAAATTTAAGTGACACTTAATAAATATTTACAAAGACAGTAATATAATAATGATAAAAAAATAAAGCCAATTAAATTTTGAATTATAATAAAAATTAATAATTAATTAAAAAAAAAAAAATTATAGGAAAAGTTTTACATTGACGAAAAAATAAATAAAAATTAAACTAGGCTCACATAGTTTTTTTTTAATTATTATTATTTTTAATTGCTTTTTTTTTTTTGTTTTCTGTTTGAAATTAATTTAAATTTTCTTATACATTTATGAAGTTACTTTTTAATAATTATTATTTTTTATACATACAATAATTTGTTTATTAATTTTTGTGTTTTTCGATTCATTTTGAAGTTTTTTTTAAAATTTAATGTTTTTTGTTTTTTTATACGAAATTTTTTTATATTGTGGCAAAATTTGAACTTACCTTGTTGGCACATTCAAAGCATGTTGTCACAACTTTATTGATACAATTCATTAAAGTTTTAATTTCTTTAATTACATGATCGACTTTAACAAATGTTGCCGCTTTACCAACAGTATGATCTTTAACTGTAAATTGTAAACTTTGAACGTATGTAGGTACTTTATCTAGATGTTCTAGAAGTTCCTTTTTATTATCACCAGCAGGAACCTGAATTATACAAGCAAAATTTTAATATAAAAGAAATTTTTTATAATATAAATAAATTCAATAACGTGTACAGTAACGGGTATAATTTTATATAATTATAAAAACTTATACCTGATAAGAAAATTGTCTAACAACTTTATATAGTCTATTAGCTTCTTCTGCAAAATATTCAGCTTGGGTAAAAAGATCTTGTGTGGTACGTAGTGTACCTTCACCTTTTGTAAATTGATACATTGAAAATGCCATTGCGGACATATTTTTGGCACGTTTTACAATATCATTATTTTCTTCAGATTCACCATTCCATTTTTCAGTTTCTGCATCCATTTCATTTGTCAGCATTTTCATTTCTAAACCACTTTTAGCAATTTTTTCTTGTTCTTCTTGATCTAATCTAGCTGGTTTTAAGGGTTTAGAAGTTGTACCATGTTTCTAAATTGGAAAAATGTAACAAAAAATTTTTATAAATTGAAAGATAATTATACAATTACAACATTGAATGCTTTAATAAAATAAACTTTAGAAAAACTACTATATATCGAATATGAATCTAATTTATAAAAAAAGAAAAAAGATATATGACAAAACTTACCCCCGGTCTCGGTAAACTTAAATATTCTAAACGATCCGGTTTTGCTTGATTTTGCGCTAATTCAATTATTTCTTTTGATAATGATGTAACATCACTAGCTAACCATTGCCACATATCAACAAAAACTTCAAGATTTTCTTTTGAAATTTTACTTGATGGATAAGTTGCTAAAACTCTAGCAGCAGTTATAACTTGCGGCCCGTAAATTCGTAAATTAATTTCAGTAAATTTGGCTTGTACTTGTAACGTTTCAGTTAAGGCAATATGCCTTAAAAGTTTACATACTTCTAATATGTGATCGATATAATCATGAAAACGGTCAGCCTTTTCTTGCAGTCGGTCTAATTCTTGATTTATTGCTATAATTCGAAAACTACATACTAAATCTATGCCTAATTTAATAACATGATGTAGTTCGGGCAATTGATCAGCTACTGATATTGCTAATTGCTGTGATAAATCATGAGCAGCTGCAATAACACTATCAATAGCTGCATCCAAATCATAAGATGGAGTTGAATAAGGCTCTACACCAACTGCTAAACGTAGGCATTGATTCAGTTCAAGTCGACATCGATCACATAATAAAAGTATATTTTCACGATTTTCATGACTTGTATAGGCCGAATCGGTAAAGTCTTGTGTTTTTTCCACAACCTTATCTAAGGCGATCATAAGATGTTCGCGGGATTCCGCATTTAATACTGACATTTCATGATTTATTGGTTCAATTCGGTGACTTGGTATGTCACGATCTAAACTCATATAGGAACGTGTACTAGGGCCACCCATATTGCTACCTCCACCACAGCCAGTGACTAAATTATTTTTATGTAGGTCAGCACCACTTACGATATGTCGATCTCGAACGCTATTACTTCGCATCAAGTCTCTTCTGGTGTTCATATATTCAGGTCCACCACTACGACTTCTTTCAGTTCTTTCAGCTCTATCAGTACGTTCCACTCTATCAACTCTGTCTAGTCTTTCAGCTCTTTCAGCTCTTTCAACTCTTTCAGCTCTTTCAGCTCTTTCAGCTCTATCAGCTCTTTCAGCTCTTTCGGCTCTTTCAGCTCTATCAGCTCTGTCAACTCTGTCAGCTCTTTCAGCTCTATCAGCTCTATCACCTCTATCACCTCTATCAACTCTGTCACCTCTATCAACTCTATCAATTCTTTCAACTCTTTCAGGTCTTTCAGCACGTTCTACTCGATCTACTCGGTCAGCTCTATCAACTCGTTCCACTCGATCAGATCTTTCAGCTCGTTCAACTCTTTCACCTCTTTCTATTCGTTCTCCTCGATCAGATCTTTCACCTCTTTCATCAACTGGCGGTAATCTACAATCTCGTCTATCATTTCCATTTGATATGTCTTTCGGGTTAGCTATTGTCAATGTTTTTGGAGTTGCTGTAATATTTGCGTTATTGCTAGGTGGAACAATACTACTTGGACCAACAACAGGAGGTGATAATGTGGCAGGTGCAGGAGGTTGTGGTGGTGGAGGCCAATTATTATAACGTGGCCTATACATTTCTACTAAACGAACAAAATTTCTTAAAGTTGTATAAACGGTAGCACGTTCAGCATCCCAGTCTGTAATAATTTGGCCACGTGGTGATAAGCGTTCAGCAGATGATGATTCTAAAACACCATCTTTTACAACATAATGTATAAGATCCATGGCACGTCTCATTTGGCAAAATACTGTATCACGATTTTCTCTAGCTGAACTACACTCTGAATGCCGAAGACAAGTTTTCGATGACGTTAACAACATCATTGTTGAACGTTCGAGAACTTGTCTTGCAGCAGACATTTGTGCTCGACGTCTTTCATCTTTTAAGTCATTTTGTCGATCACCTGTTACATGTGCTAGTTCAACCATTTCGGCACCAAATACTGAAAACGCTTTAACAAATTCAGTAAAATTTGCAACTGATTCTAATCTGCCTAATGATTTTGCTACTTTATCTTTAGCTAAAAGTAATTGTTTAACCACAACAATATCAGCTAAAAGAAGTACTCTCGTTACTGAACTTAATAGTGCTCGAGCAGCACGTATCATAGCACTACGATCTGCTAACGGACCATCTGGTGGTGGATAACCAAGTGGATCTGTTGCTGTGATTTCACATAGGCGTTCAATTGATGAACCTAGAATATATATAAAAAAAAAAACGTAATATTAAAAAGATTTGAATTTTTGTTTTTAATTTTTTTTTTTGAAATTCAATTTGATAAATTAATATAATTTCATTCAAGTGCTTGTCTATGTTTTTGGTGGTTCATTTGAAAAGTTCAAGATTTATTCATTGCTTTCATATATTTTAGCTGAAATGTAACCAATAAAGGATTAAACATGTTCAGAGTTTTCTATTTTTATTCATTAAATTGATATTGAAATTTAAGGCCAATAAACTTGTTTTATTTTCTTCCTAAAGTGTTAATATTAAACAGATGTCAATAGAATTAGTTTATCTTAATGTACGTACGAACACTATATAATGTAGGTATACGAATATATTAATGTAGGTTCTGCAATATTTTTAATATCCTTTTTATGAACAGAAAAAGAACTTATATGTTGTAATTACTTTTAATTTTACATCTACATAAAAAATATGACGACACTGCATAACGCTGTATGTATATATTTTTATGATTGTAAATAAGTATATGTACAAATATCCTTTTTATTGCTACATAGGAAAAGAAAAAGAATTTGATTATATCAATAAATTGAATTGTCATCCTTAAAAGAAGGAAATTGAAAGTAAAAATAAAAAACAAAACAAAAAAAAAATTTACTAAAAGAAAAAAACAAATAAAATAAATGTCAAATGACAGATAAGAGGAACTGTTCTTTAGTCAATATCATCATAATCACACATACAGATGTGATGTAAAAATATTGTACACATACAATTTATATATAAATATATTTAATATTAAACTGCCTTTTTATATATTTGAAATAATATATATCCTGCTTCTCTATTTTTTCTTCTCTTTGTAGGAAGAAATTTCTGAGCCTTGACCTCCAGTTAAAAAAAAAAATGACATCAATTTGAAGAATATTGAAATTTCTTCTGTTTTTTTTTTATACCCTGCATTTTCGTGAAGGGTATATTAACTTAGGTATGGAGTTTGAAAATACTTGAAGGAGTCGTCTCCGGTATGGACATATATATATATTCTTGCTCAGCGTAAAATTCTGCGTTGATTTAGACATGTCCGTCCGTCCGTCCGTCCGTCCGATCGCACGATAACTCAAAAACGAATAATGCAATCGACACCAAACTTTCACAGGTTGTTTCTTTTGTATTAAGGAGGAACTCTTTTGTAATTCGACTAATTCAGACAACTAGTTCGGGTAGCTGCCATACAACACAAAGAGTTTATTTTAAATATTTCAAAAACTAATTAAGATAAAAATATCAAATTTTGTAAAGATGTGTCCAATTACACTCTACATATGTTCAGAAAGTTTTGATGCAATGGCAGCACCGGTTCGGTTAGCTGCCATACAACTCAAAAAGCTAATTTTTTATATTCGGAAAAATAATAAAGTCAGATTCATGAAAGCAGTTGTGTGTCCAGTTATAGGTCAGACATATCCGTGAAGTTTCTATAGAATGTTTTCATAGGTTTGATTAATTGCTATACAACAATGAAGAGTGCAGGGTATAATTCAATCGGTTTATACCAATTGAAACGTTTTTACTTGTTTTTTTTTATTAATATACGGATATTTGTGAACGTATAATATATTACATTTGTGTTATATATAGGTAAATAATATATAAGTATAATATAATGCGTATCTCATATTGTATATAGATATGAAAATGTTGTATGTATATATATCAATTGTAAATATGTAAAATTCAAAATAAATATAAGCAGACGCAAATAATAAGAGGAAAAAAAAAAACAAGAATATTTATCAAGGATTTAGCCTTAAGGTATTAAAATATAATAAAGAAATACCATTAACGTATTGCCTAGATTTCATAATAATTATATGTATATAAGTAAGTATACTTATACATACAGTTAAATGTATAATGCGTGGGTGCATTATGCTTTCAATTGAAGTATATGTATTTGTGTATATATGTATAGTATTTTAATATATATTCACTGAATACATACTGAAATTAATCCATTAAAATAATAATTTTAATCATTTTTCGCAATAAATTTTTTTTTGTAGATCTATGCGTATAAAACATAAAATTTGAAGTTTAATAGTCGAAATTTATTACTAAACTTTATAGATATCTTAGCCGAAATATTTAATAAAATAAATGAAATTTTCACTATTCTATTCGTATTATTAAAACAAGTTGCGTTATTTTAATTCAAAAGGTCACCAAGAATAAATTAGTTCATTGAAATTCTAGTCATAATTGAGAATGTCAAAATATTAATGGGCACTATATATTTAAATATTAAAATAAATTGTAAATTGACTTTACATACTTATATCAACTTGTATATTTTGTGAATTAATAAATTTTATTATAATTATAGAATAGTTTCATTTAATTAAAGTTCTATAATTTAATTCAATTAGAGAATAATTGTATATCCTTTTTAATTGAAATATCTTGTATATTTTCAATAGAGAAAATTATAATTATTATTATGCATTTAATTATATAAATTTAAATTAAAAACTTTATTTAAAGTAATTTTAAATGTTAAATATTACATTTGTATATATACGAATATATTAGTATTTAAAGCATTCTAGTGTTATTTTTAATAATTAATTACTAAACATGAAAGCTAAACATGATAGCTATATACAATTTTTTAAATTCCCAATACTAATTATATAATTATCTTGTGAGAGAATATAATTTGCGGTAAACCTATATTAAAGTTCATTTCAAAGTGACAAATATATGTTAGAATGTCATTCAACTTGTTATAAGAGATTTTTGTTTTCTTATTTATAAATATTATGGAAATTTTTTTTTTAAAATAATGAAATTATAGGGATTAAGTCGGATTAAACCAATTAATCTTTAAGAAAAGTAAAACATATTTTCTGATAAGAAGATGCTTACCGCTACTTCTCTTCTATTACATAGTATATAGTTTTGATAAAGTTTATATAGTGGAAAGTATGGTATTGAAATTTAACATATTTTGAGCAGCACTAACTCTGGTCGAGAAAAATATTTTTCATTAAAAGAGTTATACATTTTATTACAAGAAATAATATCAACAGCAACATTAATATTCTGCATAAAAAATTTGAATAATGTTTACAAATTTAAAAAACAAATTATTAAATTTTATGTAAGTAGTTTAGAATGAACTGTTATATAACTAAAAATTTCTTAGACTGGAGATAAATTTGAAATAAAGTAAACAAAACAAAAAATTATGGTAGATAAAAATTTCTTTCTATAGAACTTAATTTCTTAAAAAAATTCTTTATTGTATATAAAATTTGAGCTTAAGTGGTAAATAAAGGCACAGAAAAAGTAGCTTCCGATATTAAGATTTCGAGTAACTCTTGTTTTCTGGTTTTTAATAAAATATTTGGTTTTGTTCTCATTAATATCTAGTCCAATATTAGCAGCGGTCTCAGCGGACATTGTAAAAGTTTCTTTCAAAACGTTGGTAAAGCGCGAAGATGACTATATGGTCAGCATATAGGATTCAGAATCCAGGATCAATTTCTTTAATTGCATAATGTAGCATCAAAGTTAAAAATCAAAGTGAATAATGCATCTCCCTATTTCACGTCTGCACAATCAACGTAAAAAAAGACTCAGTAAGTTTACCTTGAACTAGCACTTTAGCTTTCATATTTTTCAGCATAATGTTAGTGAGCCTTATCAGTTTTTCTGGTATACCCTTCAATCTCTGCTATCTAGCCATGTTTCTGGAATACTTTCAATATTCCATATGGAAATAATACAATCATGAATTTTGAGGTGTAGTTCGATGTCTTCATATTTAATTAACTCTGCAATTATAGAGTTTTCTCCATTAAATTTCCCATTTTTTAATTTATTAATAACTATTTGCGTTTCTTCTATTGTTGGCTGGTTTATAACATTTTCAGCTGATTGAAAAGGTATTATTAATTGTAATTATATTACTAATTTCCGTATCCGGTTTGCTTAAAGCCTTTTGAAAATATTCGCTCCATCTTTCTAATATCTTATTTTCTTCCATTAATAATTCTCCATCCTTATTTTTACATATATTCAGTCTTGGTTGAAATGCGGTAGCTTTATATTTTATTTCCTTGTAGAATCTTCTTGCTTGACTCTTACAATTTTCTTCTAAAGTTCGTACTTTATTTTTTATAAAAGTGCATATTGAAAACATTAATTATATTGACGTTCTAAGAGTATCCTACAACATTAAATTGTTTAACCTCTTTCACCTTGCAATATAATATATTTCTCATTCAACTATGGAAAATTTTATTATAGAAAAAATTAAAATGTAAATCTTAGATGAGTATGAAATAATATTCTTAAATTATCAAACTGTTTTATTTTAAATTATTGAAATTATTTATGAATAGAAGAGTAATGGTGAATTTACCCATTACAATTTCTTTTGAAAAATAGAAGAAATAAGAGAAAGGTACTCTAACGTATGTAGGTTAACTTTTATTTGAAAATTAAAATTTCAATCTTATAATATCAAAGTAAATTATAAAAGTATTTAATATTGATTTTTAAATTTTATCAAAAGGTGCAATGCGTTAAAATTATATTCACCTTGATTTATCACATATACCTATACTTACTTATATACAATTAAAGAGTCATTTAACATAAAAATATGAAATTAAAAAACTACTTTAAATCCCTTATATGCATTCAACTCACATTAACACCATGCTGTGAATACTCTTGATTTATTTATGCCTACACACACATCATCAATTTGTTATATAAGAGAATTATATAAAAATTTCATAAATTATAACATTTAAAATTATTATTTAAAATTATTAAAAAATATTTTTTTTTTTCGAAATATTATTAAACAATCATATCCGCTCTTGTTATTTATAAAAAAAAAAAGAGAAAAAAAAATATTTCCTTATCTAACAGTTTTTTATGTAATATGTGTCAGGTGTATAACATTTTCTTTTTATAAAAGCCTACACCATATTATGCATTAAATGTATGTACGTTAAAATCTCATCCGATTAAAGTGCCTTTTCATGTTAAGCACGTTAAAATATAAAATATAAGGGCTATACAGCTAGTATCTACACATAGTATTCATAGTATATTGCAATTTTTATAATATTATGTACGTTAACTCGATGTTTGGTTAAATTATTTCATATATGACAAAAATAAAGAAAGGAAGAGAAAAAAAGAAAATAATAAAATGAAAAATTAGAAAATAAGAAAATTTATAAATATAAAATCAGAAAACCAGAACCATATAGAATTTTATTATACAGTAATTATTTTTGGATTAAGGCCAATAAAATATAATATATTACATATATTAATGTGTGTGTGTGTGTGGTATAGTGTATGTACATATATGAAAATAATATAACAATTCTCTTTGAATAAAGGGAAAAATGAATTTTTAGTTATTGTACTCGTATATGTATATTACAATGCGGAAGGTAATTATTAGTTTATAAATATATATATATATATATATATATATTGCTTTTTCATATTTAGATAAAAGAAATTTTTAATGTACATTCATATAAATAAATAGATTTTTTGTAAAAATAGATGCACGTAGTAATTTTAATGATAATATGTTTTGTATATAGTTAGATTCATGTGTATGTATTACATGTTTATTATTACTAATTATATTGTTAATTTTCATAATGGAATGAAAATTGATAATAATGAGACGTGCAGAACCACATGGCAAAATAATACAAAATTATTTAATTTATCCTGAAAACACATAAAATTAAAATTAAAAAATTTTACTTTAACAAAATTATGCTTTAAAAATTTTTAATGTTTATATAATATAGTTTTATGAATTGCTTCTAGTATTGCATAATATTATTTTACAAGAGTATCATCTATAATTTTTTATTGAATGAGGTTAAAATCAAAGAGTTTTTTATTTTATCAACGAAATATTAGTGTTAATTTTATTATAATTTATTAAACAAATTTAAAATAAATAGTATAACAAATAAGTTTTTGAACAGGATTCTCAATTTACAAGCAGTTTATTAGATTTTATTAGAAAATTAATAATTAATAATTTCTTGAATAAATTATGAATAAATTTTGCTTCCACTAACAATAATGTAAATTTTGTTTATAATGTGAGTAAAAAATTGTTGATGGCATGAAGATAGGAAATTTCAATTTTTACAATTGCATACTTCTCGGGGAGTGTACCCCAAATTTTCGAGAACGAAAATTTTATTTTAATAACATTGAAATTTCCAATAAAAATTCAAAATTCATAAATTTTAACAAAAAAAAATTTAATAGATTTTAAACAGTTTCGATTTGTTCGGATATATTAACTGGTATAATAGGAAATTATTTTTTCTATTTTACCCCTACAATTATGCAATTTCATTTTTCTCTTTTCTTTTCATAATAGGGTCGTGCATCAGTTTCATTAGTCATTGGGTTAACTAAGCACGTTACCAGTTTGCTTTAGGTTTTTTCTGACAATAACATTTGAATTAGAGATCCGTGAGAAGGATGGCTCCATCATCATATCTGTAATATCGGTCTGATTTTGTGTATCATTATTATGATTTTTATTTTTACTAAAATGTTAAATGGTAATTAATTTCTCCTTATAAAATTAAAATAAAATTAAAATGAACGACAACATTCATTACATTTAAATTAGGTACTTAAAATTCTATTAATTTTCAATTTTATTTAATTAATTTAAAATAACATATTTTGTGTATGCCAAAATTAAAATAAAATTTAAATGAAAATTATTTTTAAAATTTATTTTTTTTTTTCCAAAATTTTAATTATTTAAAAATAACTTTTTAATGTAATAACATCAAAAAAAAGAAATAAACTGTAAAAAGTGTAAAATAAACAAATCAAAATCAAACATAGTAAAAATTTCAAATGTAATTTTATCCTTTAATAGTTTTAATCATTATCATATTTATACATAATAATTGCCTTTCACCAAGAAAACTTCTTAAATTACATCCTCTACTTCTTCTTTTTTTTTGGTATTATCATTATACCCGATAAACAATTTGTGAATGGCGATTAAATTAAGTTCCGCATAAAAAATAAACCATTCCGAATTGAGACAAACAAGGGAAATAAAAAAATACAATCCCGTTTTCAACAGAGGAACAAATGAAAAAAGAAAATTTTTCCATAATTTTTCAGGCATTTCAACCAACTGACATGAGTTATAGTTCTTGTTTAGTAGATGATTTATACAAAAAGAAATTTGCCAAAGTCCCTTGACCTAATTACTGCTGAGATAATACAAGATTTGTTGAGCAAGCGTTAACATTTTTGAAAAAGTGAAAAAAGTAGCAGTAAACATAGGGTTTTTTTAAAGCAGCATGTAAATATCGAGGAGTTTCGATTTAAAGAGGAGAGAGTTATGACAGAAAAACTGACCTCTCGATATATCCTTAAGTGGTGAGAGAGCGTTACTGTGCCTTCTATCATAGAATATAGACACGAAAACGAGATAGAGCAAAACAAACGGTTAGCCATTTTGAATAATTTTAAGAAGTTATGGCCATTCAGTTGCGTTTTAGTTTGGATTTAAGTTCTCTCCCGCTATAATAGGCCTGATGACGATTTGAATTCGCCGATCTTTGTCTCTCGATGATTTTACCGCCTGTATTAAAACAAAAGTATATAATATATATATTATATATATTTTAGGCGTATTTCCGGCTTGATATAAAGGCAAAATGATTTCGAAGAGATCTCTAATTGTTATAAAGATTTCCGGAACTTAACGATACCTATGTATAAATGGATTAGACTCGAATAAAATTTCAGTTCTTTCCTTTTTTGCTGTACAAATTTTGGTTTTGCTTGTCGGGATAATATGCTTGTATAGTATAATGCATAAACTAGTACAATATCAAAATATTTATATATACTAATGTATGCAAAAATAGAAAAACATAAAAAAATCCCTGTTAAGAACCCATTTTATATCATTCATTCTATTTTCTTATTATTAAAGCTTCTTAACCCATTTTATATTTTGATTTTTTTTTCATGTCCATTTTGTAATACATACAATATTATATGTATGTTATATGTAGATAAAGAATGTTATTTTAATATTTGTATACAATCTTATAGTAATCTTTTTATATGGTTATAAAATATTGTATCACATTTAAAAAAAAAGAATAAAAGAAAGACAAAAATATACCGAAGAATCCTTTCTTAAAAATAATTATAAACAGGTAATGCGTACATATATACATACAGTGCCGGATCAACTACACATGCAAAATAAGCATTTGCAATGAGCGAGGAAAAACAGGACATAGAACACTTCAAAAAAAAAAATAAAAAAAAAATAAAAATTTTTTCCAAGCTTTTTCACTATTCCAACCTTTTTCTATTTACAGCGAAATGTACGAGAAAATAAACTTGATAAGATGTACGACTACCTATATACAAACATTGCAAAACAAAGAGTTGATAGTTTTATTTTAGATTTTAATTCTATCAATTATGTTGCACTTATCCTGATAAAATCACTGAGAACGTGATTAATTATAAGCTTATTGTTAATGCTTATTTCATATTGTTCATTACGGGGCGTTTAGGGCGCCAAACTAGTCAAAACCAGCCTGCATACACACATATATTTACTTTTGTATACATAAGTAAATATATGTATGTATGTATATTAAAAATACATTTGTTTATTTCATTGGTTAAGTTTGTGATATTTACAAATAAAAGAAAAACAAACACAAAAAAAAGAAGAAAAAAATTATGAAAAACTTTCAAGGACACTTAAACAATTTAAAGAAAATAAGGAAAATAAGATATACAAAAGAAAAAAAAAGGAAATGAAAAATTTAATTTTCTGTTCCTTTTCAAGAATATACTTATTTGCAAGGAACATTGATCTCAATACATAAATTTTCATTTAAGAGAATCTGCAAAAAGATATAGGTAAAAACCAATTAAGCCTCCGATATTTGTTTTCATTTCGTATATCGACCGAAAAAGACATTTATTTTTTTTTTATCCAATTTTCAAAAAATTTATGTTTTTTTTTGGCAAGGAAGGTCGTCGTGCAAATTTTTAAAAAATTTTCAATTTTTTGCCAAGGTAGGGGGTCGTGCAAAATTTTAAAAAATTTCAATTTTTTGCCAAGGGAGGGGGTCGTGCAAAATTTTAAAAAATTTTTAATTTTTTGCCAAGGTAGGGGGTCGTGCAAAATTTTAAAAAATTTTCAATTTTTTGCCAAGGTAGGGGGTCGTGCAAAATTTTAAAAAATTTTCAATTTTTGTCCAAGGTAGGGGGTCGTGCAAAATTTTAAAAAATTTTCAATTTTTTGACAAGGTAGGGGGTCGTGCAAAATTTTAAAAAATTTTCAATTTTTTGCCAA